TTTAAGATACCAGGTTAAGTTTAAGATTAATGTTAGGTTTAAGATACCAGGTTAGGTTTAAGTTACCAGGTTCAGTCAAATATACCAGGTTAAGTTTAAGATTCCAGGTTAGGTTTAAGATACAAGATTAGGTTTAAGATTATATTATCGTTTTTTTCTTTGCATGTCGAAACCCAAGAAATTATGTCATCTACGAAATGAAAACAATGCTGAAGCTTAATTACTCTTTGTCAAAAATTGTTGAAGCTTAAATAATTATTTGTCATTTAAGGATGAAATGAAAACCAGAAGAACAAATTCATTTTGACACACGGAAATATGTGATTTTGGAGTATACATATCAAAAGAAATTGTACGTAGAAGAAACTATTTTTAAATATAAATTCTAAATTATTCTAGCAAAAACTTAATTGCTTACCTTTTAGCGTTTTCTTTCCTTTTCGTCCGTATTCTGCTGCGTTCGTGACACTGTGTGTTAAACTGTTCTATATGACGACGCTAACCCCGCAGCTAGTGTGTATTGGAAATCTTCTCTGTTTTAGACGCGCAAAAGAGTTCCAAACACAAACACAAAAGAGCTCCAGACACTGAAGAGTTCCAAACACAAAAGAGCTCCAAATACAAAAGCGTTATTTTGTAACCTTCAGCGATAACGTTCCAACTATAATAAACAAAAAGAACCAAATATAAAAATAAAATATACTATTATTGTTGCAAATGATCACATTATTTGGAGGGGTAAAATGTAATATATATTCCCCTGAAAACCGTTTGTAAAGTATCAGTTCTTAAAATCTTAAAAGAAATAAACATGGGATATCATATTTCCTCTTTTCCAGGTTTAGGATTTGAGATTCATCTATTAATTAGATATAGTTTAAATTGAAATCTTCCGAATAATTATTACTTACTTATGTTTATAAGTTAAGTTATTATTTGTTTTGGGTCATCATTATATGATTAAATGTATTTCTTTTCATTCTCTTATTTTGATCAATTTTAAGTTATTTTAAACCAAACCATTTATTTAATGTAGATGTGCTTTAACCGCGTATTCTTAATTACACTATGTATGCAGTCAAGTTTTTGGCAGAAATTTTTAAAAAAAACTCAGTGCAAAAATAATGCAAGATAATGAGAGTATTCAGATACCAGCGCAATTTTCTACCATGGATTAAATCAAGGATTTTTTTTCCATAAAGGTGGGACCACAGTAAAAAAAACAATCCATTTAACCTGTATCAAATAAGAGTTAAAAAAATCTAAGCTAACTATGAAGTATTCTGCCTACCTTTTCCACGTCTTCTCTCTCCGATGACTTTCTGTGAATGTCCAAGTCTGCGCGCGCTAAGTGTTGAGACGGCATTTCAAAAACCGGTTTTTGATGGCATCCAATACACAAAGCTAGCGATCGCTCTTTGATGTAACTGAGACTGTGAACGCTGTACGTGATGAGGTAATTAGAGGACGGGACTAGTTTTAAACCTGTCCTGTTGTTATGATTTCTCTTTTACAAAGACAATTTCCTGGCAAGCAAAATAAAAGTTGCAAAACGTGAAATTTCTATTTCAAAGCTGGAGGGAGATGGAGTAATTGGGAGAAATTTGATGATAAGCGAAAACACACACACACACACACACGCACAAAGGTAAAAAAAAAAGTAAGACGGGGGGGGGGGGGGGGTGACAGATATTTGCTGACAAGTAATGAATTCTAATGCTTTAATATCTATTACTTCTGGTCATAAATTAAACTGGGTGTGCGTCACAAAAACAGTCTCCGTTTTTAGTCGGGGCGGTCAAAAGATCACTTTTTACTGGCTTTTTTATCAATAAAATATCTTTAAAAATTCAGGGGATGGGGCGGGGGGGGGGGGGAGGTCGACCCACCACCGCACCCCCTCGAGATCTGCGCATGGAACATGATTAAATATTAGACATTTCAAAAAATTATGACCCCAATGAACAAAGTACGTTTCAATAATTTTATATTTCTAGACCTAAAGATTTTAACAAGTTTAAGAAAAATAACATCTTGTAAAATGATCAATATCCAAAGTATTAACTTTTCTTGTTAAGAAAAACCAGAAACAATATTTTATATCTTACTTAAAGATACCGGATTAGTTTAAGACCAGGTAAAGTTTTAGATACCAGGTAAGGTTTAAGATACCAGGTTAGGTTTAAGTAACCAGGTTAGGTTTAAGTTACCAGGTTAAGTTTTTGATACCAGGTTAGGTTTAAGATACCAGGTTAAGTTTTAGAAACCAGTTTAAGACAAAGGTAAGGTTTAAGATACCAGGTAAGGTTTAAGATACCAGGTAAGGTTTAAGATACCAAGTAAAGTTTAAGATACCAGGTTAGGTTTAAGTTACCAGATTAGGTTTCATAAATCAGGTAAAGTTTTCGATACCAGGTTAGGTTTAAGATACCAGGTTAGATTTAGAAAACTTGTTTAAGATTAAGGTAATTTTTAAGATACAAGGCTAGGTTTAAGATACCAGGTAAGGTTTAAGATACCAAGTTTAGTTTAAGATACCAATTTAAGTTTAAGATACCAGGTTAGGTTTGAGATACCACGTAAAGTTTAAGATACCGGTTAGGTTTAAGATCCCCGTTTATGTTTAAATTTACCAGGTTAGGTTTGAGATACCACGTAAGGTTTTAGATACCAGGTTAGGTTTAAAACAACAGGTTAGGTTTAAGATACCAGGTTAAGTTTAAGATACCAGGTTAGGTTTAAGAAACTAGTTTAAGATTATGGTAATGTTTAATATACAAGCTTAGGGTTTAAACACAATGTAAGGTTTAATATATCAAGTTAAGTTTAAGATACCAATAAAGGTTTAAGATACCAGGTTAGGTTTGAGATACAAGGTTAGGTTTAATTTACCAGGTTAGGTTTAATATACCAGGTTCGGTTTAAGATACCAGGTTCGGTTAAAGATACCTAGTTCGGTTTAAGATACTAGGTTAGGTTAAAGATACCAGGTTAAATTTAAGATACTAGGTTAGGTTAAAGATACCTGGTTAAGTTTAAGATACCGGGTTAAGGTTAGGTTTGAAGATAAAGGGTAAGGTTAAGGTTAAAGATTGATATCAAAGAAAGGTTTAAAAGTTAACGAAGGATTGGAAATTTAGATAAAATTTTATTTCCTGTTTCAGGGTGAAATATTGATATGGTAATTATCAAACAAATATTTGTGGCATTCTTCTTAAAGAATGGCCCGAGGCATTGAAAGGCCGATATTAGCAATGAATTTTTCTTTTGTATTTTTTTAAAGAAAAATAAAGAAAAAAGTATTTCTTTTCAAATTAGTTGTTTTCTACCTAAAAGATTGCCTGTAAATGAATGCGTCATATAAATGTCTAATAAAATATGCAAAGAAATGCTGCATAGACTTTTTTGTTAAATTTTATACCAATTATTTATGAATTGAAATTCATCACTTGTGGGATATTTTTAAAGCAATGGTTAAAAACACCATGACACTAGTCAAAAAATGTTTTCCAATCATATTTTAAAGAGAAATTGAATTGAAATTGCAAAGATTTAGGGGAAAAATTATTTATTTTTAATTTGTTATTTAACCCGATAAAAATTACACCAACCCCATCAACATTTCAACATAATAACTACAAAACATGTTTATTGCCTTTTTCATGTATTTACTATGAAGGATATATTTGATTGCCAAGTTCATTTAAAAAAAACTTCTTTTATTCCGAATAAGACGAGTTTTTTTTCGAGAAATGTTAATTGTATCTAAATAAATGTTCAATTCTGGTTGGGATCGATTTATTTTTCATCGCGATTGGCCAAACTTTAAAAAAAATATGTTTCTGTAAAATTTAAAACTTTCATGAGCATTTCTTATAAAATATGATTAACAAACATGTTCTTCTCCAGATGTGCCTAGTTTTAAGAATTTGAACAAAAGTACAAAAAAAAATATTTGTTTTATTTTAATGATTTTTTTTCTATTTCTAAACATTTCAATTCGACTTTTCTCTCCATATTTTATTAGGTATCCATGTGATGCATTGATTAATAGCAAATATTAAGCAAGAAACATCTTACTTTCTTGTAATTTTTTTCCATTTTGTTAAAATAGGAAAATAATTCTATCAACTTATAAGGAGATAATTTTTCCTTTCAATGCAGAAACGATACCATAAATCAAAAATATTGAAACAAAGATCTATAAAATCAAAAACGTTGGGGATATTCTTCGGAATACTCCTTAAGCATTATCACAACCTTCACGTCAACTCCTTTGTTTCTTTTGGCTGATTTATCTTTAATTATAGTGTTGCAATCAAAAGTTAAAATAATTTTATATTCTCAACCTCATATGTAAAGTCGCCCTGGTGGTGAAATGTTAGAGGAGGATATGGAAATAAGGAGCAGTATTCAATCTTAAAGTCCATAAAACAATATAACAAAATAAGAGCAGAGGAAACACAGACCTCGAAAACATCAGAAGTGGGATCAGATTCCATGGAGGAGTGAGCATCCCCTGCCAAGCGGTCACACCCGCCGTGTGCTCGTTGTCATGATCAGGAAATAATGGAGGGGGAAATATGTCGTGCATTAGTGTATTAATAATGGACTAACAATTGCTATGAAAAACTTTAGTCAGCATTTGACTCAGAGCGTCTTCTCTATAAATCGTGATGTGAGGTGTTGATCCTGAACTCGATAGTTCGAATCCAACTGTGGGACATGTACAGCGGTTCCTCTGTTGATACCGTATAAACCGAAGTCCCGTGTCGCAGTAGGTGCTTGCACGAAAAAGATCCTTCCCTGCTCAGTAGTCCTGAGTGTCGAGTATAGTACAGAATACACTGCTCTCTACCAGTAAATGGTGACATCTCCATATGAGTGGAAAATTTTCGAAAAATTCAATCAATCACTCACATATTTTACATTGTTCAGGAAGTTTTTGATTAAGTTTCTTTGAGGAAGAAAATCAACCCTATTCTGATAACTAGACCATCAGCTTTCATAGTATTTACCTAGAAACATCTTGCTAGATTTCAACATAATTTTTCCTCATTAAGGTTTTGAAAAACTGATCAAGTTCAATAACAAATCATTCCTTAACTAAATACACTGATTGCTCAAATTTATTTATTCAAAGTATGGAACTTTTGTCTTTACAAACAAACATCAACCTCCAGGTTTTTTTTTCTATATTCCAAATGAAATTTCTAACAAAATTAATAAAACAGTTTCTTTAATTTTCAATCAAAGCATCATGTTTAAGTCAAGATTTAACTTTATTTACAAAAAATGTCCAAAAACCGTCATGTTAAAACAAGCAATCAGCCTCATTTTAATTGAAACCCATTTTTCCTGACGAAGCTATGTTTTCGTTTTCTTAACTTCTTCGCTTCGTTAAACATACGATATCGGTGTTTTCATCGTTGACTTGAAGGGATTTCATCATCCTCCATACATATATTCTGTCTCACTGGGGTATCTGTAAAACATTTTAAATATTTTACCTAAGAGTTCTTATTCTCTTTTTATCTTTTCAGTTTAAAGGAGATATTAAGATAAATAAAAGTAGCTTAAAAACGTTTTTACATTCCACTTAGAAACCATTCATCAAGCATGGAAAACAGTCAATAACATTTTCGCTATGAATTTCAATTTAGTTCAATTTTTTTCTAAATCAATATCATTGCATCTAATACAAGAGGTTCGTGGGCCACATTGCTCACATTCGCACTGTGGCTAGCATGAAAGAAAATATTAGTTATTATTGAAAAGTCTAAACCATTATTTAAATGGGAGAAGGAATGATTTGCACAAACCTTGTTAAATTGTCTAAACTTCTTCCATATCAATATATGAAAGACCAATTACATCTTTGCTATTCTAGACAAAATATTTAAAGAATTTTATCATATATTTCTATGTTTAACTTTGGTCAGCTAGTGTGACCCTGCCCAACCACCGGTGGTTGAAACGAATTTGAATCTACACTTACTGAGAATGCTTCCCTAAAAATATGATCAATCGTGCCATTGCTAGTCTTTAGTTTTTAATACATTTTTCATACATATTTCAATGTGAAACTGCTCGGTCTTTGTGGACGCTGCCAAGCCCCGGGTGTCGTGTAATGATTTGAACTTGAATCTATACTAACTGAGGATGCTTCCAAAAAATAAGACCAATCATGGATTTTTTTAATTTAGGGAAGTTAATTATAGAATTGTCCTATATATTTCTTTTTAAAACAATGGTCAGTCATTGTGGCCCCGCCCTACCCTTGTGGGTAATAATTTCTATAAACTTCAAGATACACTACCTGATGATGATTCCATAAAAATATGAACAAACATGGCTTTTGAGTTTTACTTATTCATAATTATGTCCCTTTTGAAGGGGGCCTAGCTCTTCATTTGAACAAATTTGAACCCCCTTAACTAAAACAGTTTTTGTGGCAAGTTTTAATGAAGTTGGCCCAAAAGTTCTTGAGAAGACGATGAAAATGTGAAAAAGTTTACAGACTAACGGACAGACAGAGGGACATACAGACTGACAGATGGACAGACGGATGTCGGGCAAGATGTGATCAGAAAAGCTCACTAAAGATTTCAGTTCAGGTGAGCTCATAAACTGCTTCCAAAACCAAACCTAATTCTCTTATTTGAAGATTTTTTATCCTACCAACTACAACACTGCTTGTTGAAATTAAATTTATATTTTTGGTCTACCTTCATTCTTTCTGTCTTGCTTTAATTCCAATTTCTCTTCTTTCCCTTGTTCCATTTCACTTGTGCTCGAGACAGGATCTAAAAATTTTAATTGTTCTTTAGAAGAATCCATTCATCAAGCATTGGAAACAGTCAGTTATATTTTCACCATGAATAAAGTTCAATAATTTTAATTTATATCAGTTTCATCGCATCCAGTTTTAACTGAACCCAAAACTTAACCTTTAATTTGGAGTTTTATCATCCAACCACCTACAACATTGGTTGTTGTCTTTTGAATGAAATTATAAGAATTCATATAGTTTGATAACTTATTGTTGATAAGCTTTGGTCTACCTTCAATCTTTCTTTCTTGCTTTCCTTTAAAGTCCTCTCCTTTTTCTTGCTCCATTCCACTTGTGGATGAGACAGGATCTGTAAATTTCATTTGTTCTTTTGAAGAAATCATTTATCAAGCATGAGAATCAGTAAATTATATTTACGCCATGAATATAGTACAAACGATATTCTTTACATTAATTTCCTTGAATAAATTTTAAACCGAAACCAAATCGAAAACTCTAATTGGAGTTTTATCATCCTACCAACTTCCTCATTGCTTCTTGTTTTTTGAATGAAATTAAACAGAATTCATAAAGTATGATAACTTATTGTTGATAACTTTGGATATACCTTCTATCTTCTTTACTTGCTTTCCTTTCATCTCCTCTTTTCCAGGTTTAGAGAGTCGAGATTCATCTATTAATTAAATATAGTTATATAGTTTAACTTGAAATCTTCCTCATTCTTATTACTTACTTATTTTTCTAAGTGAAGATATTATTTGTTTTGGATCTTCATTGTATTAAAATCTCATGAAGTAATCTGTGTGTGCTTACATTATTCTGTTCTTTCAGTGAGATTTAATGGGTAAATAGATTGAGGTTAGGATTGAGGTTAAGATTAAGGTTAAGGTTAGAGTTAGGGATCATTTGATATAATGGTTTATGTAAAGATTTCAGTTTGGTACTAAGATCACATACAAAGTATGACTTGAGATTTAAAAGAAATCAAAGAGTTTTTACCACAAATATATATATATTGTGAATTAATTTTCAGTTAAATACAGTTGACGTACAGACGTTTTCAAAAGAATTGTTTATTCCAATAAATTCCCTTCATGGACAAAGTCAATATTTCATGATTCATATTATCGGGTCAAGAGAAGATATTTATCTATTTGCTTGTTTCATAACGCAATTTTTACACTTCAGATCAGGGTATTCACTGTGGTATTCAATACGGTATTACTTATATCTTCAACTAAAGTCATTTTCTCTTATCTATATCTCAAATTTTGATAATCGTAAAAAATACTTTATTTCTTATTAACTCGGTCATTTTTCATCCACATATTGAAGTTTGTTTTATTCTCAGAAAATATTTAAATCTCAAGCATTAAGAAAAGATTCCTTTTCCTCTATTCCACTTACCGGATTCTTTGATTTTCTTTGACATCTTCCTATTGTCTTGAGTAGTAAAATGGCGGTTTAAACGTACAAGTATGCACGTGATAATAAAAATAGAACTGACGTAAAGGTTTTAAAACTCTCTATGAAAAAAAATATATCAGTAAAACTGTACCTACAATTATCACGTGATTTTTGGGGGCATTGGCAAGATGCAACTTACCAGGAGTTACAATAAAAGCCCCATTACCCTACCCGTAACAAAGAGTCAAAGCTGAATCAATAAGCTAATAAACATTCTTTAGAGTAAGAGTTGTACCAAAATGTATGATAAAAAAGAGGGGTTAGGGAGCGGAAGGGAATTATTCTTGTTATACGAAATTAAATTATTATTTTTTTACTGTAACATTTCCTTCCTTGTGAATTCAATGATTTCTCTATATATCCAAACAAATGATTTCCAAGCAAGATTTGGACAAAAAGGTATAAAACCTAAATATGTAATAATACTTGACTCGAATAGATCAGTAATTAATCATCGATTTTCAACTTTAGAAAAAATAAATTGAGCTATAAAATGAACGATTCCATCGGGAATCGAACTCGGCACCCCTTAATCTGAAGTCCGCTGCTCTACCTACTGAGCCAAAGTGTATGATGGAAATAACAAAATAAACTTTGATACTTTGCTACACAAAGTATTAAGATAAAAAAAACAATAACCACGCCTACTGAAATCACGTGACAAAATTTGACATTGACGAGATGACTCCGGAGCGATCTTCGTAAAACCCCCTATACCCTAACCCTAACCCTAACCCTAACCCTAACCCTAACCCTAACCCTAACCCTAACCCTAACCCTAACCCTAACCCTAACCCTAACCCTAACCCTAACCCTAACCCTAACCCTAACCCTAACCCCTAACCCTAACCCTAACCCCTAACCCTAACCCCTAACCCTAACCCTAACCCTAACCCCTAACCCTAACCCTAACCCTAACCCCTAACCCTAACCCCAAGGTAACCCTAACCCTAACCCTAACCCTATAAAGAACCCTAAAGTTAACGAGGGGTTGACAATTTAGATAAAATTTTATTTCCTGTTTCAGGGTGAAATCTTGATATGGTAACTTCCATCAAATCAGATGTTTTCTACTTAAAAGATTGCCTGGAATATAAATGTCTAATAAAATATGCAAAGAAATGCTGCATAGACTTTTGGTTAAATTTTATACCAATTATTTATGAATTGAAATTCATCACTTGTGAAATATTTTTAAAGCAATGGTTAAAAACACCATGAAACTAGTCATAAAATGTTTTCCAATCATATTTTAAAGAGAAATTGAACTGAAATTGCAACCCCTTAATCTGAAGTCCGCTGCTCTAACTACTGAGCCAAAGTGTATGATGGAAATAACAAAATAAACTTTGATACTTTGCTACACAAAGTATTAAGATAAAAAAAACAATAACCACGCCTACTGAAATCACGTGACAAAATTTGACATTGACGAGTAAATTTTAGTAAATGTTATGTTGGTATTTTGAATTAATTGAACAGTTTCCATTATTTTTCTGGAATAAGCCTTGATTTAGAATAAGAAATAAGCAAATATCTCAATTTTAAAATTCATTTATTTATACACTGAATATAGAGAATAGCATCACTGATACATTTTGTATGTTGTCATTACAGGAAACGGTGTAATTTTCAATTTTATATATAAAAATATTCTGTGTGTTATTTCAAAATCAACTTTCAGTCAATCTGTTCAGGAGCTTGCATTGCGAAACCATGAGGGTGTCCAAGATGAAGCCTAGGAATCAAAACAATAAAATCTAATTAATTAATTCATGTATAAACCAACGTAAGTATGCATTTTATAGGTGTTTTACATTGCATAATAAACAAAATTGGACACAAAGATACCTTGTTCCGCCATGAGTACGACTCTCCACCATAATCAAACCGAATTTCGTCCTCTACATCTATATCCTTCTTTGCTTTGAATATGATGTGTTGTTTTTCACCTTTTTCAACGAGTTTTGGAAAAATATTAGGATGGCAATGCTCGTCATTAATTAATCTGCCAAGGCTTCCATCGTCTACAGATGCGTCTATTCTAGAAGTAAATTAGTTTCTTTTAAATTTAAATGAAAGAAAAAGAAGACATTCTGCTCTTAAAATGATTAAAAACTACTCACATCTTCAATTTGCCATTGAAATTAAATTCAAAAAAATAGGTATCATCCTCGTCTTCAAGGAATGGACCTTCCCTCAATTTCCCCTTGTATTCAAGCAAAGGTTCACCTTTAGAGAACTTCCTCCTTGCAAATACACCATTTCCTGTAATATCAACAATCAAAATGTATCATTGATGCTATTATCTATACTCAGTGTATAGAATTTAACAGTTTTTTTTAATTTTTTACCTATCTCATCATTAATATATTTCACCATGAAATTGGAATCATCAATCAAATCAAGGACATCAGACTCTTTTTTAGCTACGCGTCTTCTTGGATACCTTCTTAAGGTTGAATGAGCTCTTGCAGTGTTTGAAGGACGAATTAAAACGAGCTTGCACTGAGAAATATGCCTGTCTAGAATTTCTTTCAGAAATGTAGAGCCCAGAGATTCATCTTTAGGAGTTCTCCATAATCGGTCCCAACCCCGACCTAGTAAATGATCTGTGAAGAAAGCCACTTTCTGTGTCATTTCATATTCAAACGATTTGACTTTCAGTAAAACGGTCATCTTGATTTCTTCTTTTATTTTGTCCTGGATAAAAAACTCATTGCTAATTTCCCTGAAGACGTCCTCTTTCAATACTTTCATTTCTTCCATAATCATCACTCTAGTGTTTTCCATCACCAGATTCCTCAATGAGGTTATCTCTTTGGTAATAATATTGTCCAGCTCAGATATTGTAACATATTCTGTTGAAAATATAATTAATTGAATTATGCACCTTGAAAATTAAATACTTTCTCCTTTAAAAATGATATGTTTTTAACTTAATTTAATGAGTAAATATAGTTACCGTTCTCTTTTCCTGCGTTTGTGTCACATTCCATTTTCAACTGAAACACAGTTTAAACCATGTAATTTATTTCTGACCTTGAAAATGCACTGGTTTATATTGACCTTACTACAACTTCAATTCTACATTTTCACCTTCTTTTCGATCTCTAGCGACAAACTATATACATTTATTAAAAACACAACCAACAAACACACACACACACACACTCACACACACATTGGCATAAATATATTTTCCAGAACTCACCTGATTTGAATACATTCTAAACCCTTGTGTGCTCTACTTAAAAATGAACAGCAAATTAAACATCCAACCTCAACCTGAAAGACATTATGTAACGATATATTTAGCTATACAGCCTCAAACTTCGGTATAATCTTATGATCAGATTTAAGGTTAAAGTTAAGTTCAAGATTAAGGTTAAGGTGAAAGTTAAGATTCAGATTCAGGTTAAGATTAAGATTAGGTTAATGTTTTGAATTTGTGGTTTTGCGTATGATTAAGATGAAGTTTAAGGTTTGTATAAAGGTTAAGTTTAAGACTAAAGTTAAGGGTAAGGGATATATTAAAATTTTTATTACATTTCCATTTAAGTTCAACGTTCATATTGAATTTTTAGATCAAGTTAAGGTCAAGTTTGTCTTAAGGTTAAGGTTAGAATAAAGACTAAAATTAAGAATAAGATTAAAGTTACAGTTGCGCTTGAACTTGCAGTTAAGGTACGCTCACCTATGTCTTTACCTTAAATAAACACATCTTATGCTGCTACAATAATTTGATTTTTTTTACCAAGAGGTTATTACTGATATCACAATAGTCTAACACCTCACCTTTATCAAAATAATTGACTTCTCTAGCCCTGCCGTTAACCTAACCTGCTAACCATTCCTCCAACGCTGATGAAGACGCTAATCTGTAACCCTAACCCTAAACCTAACCCTAACCCTAACCTCATCATGTTTATCACGTGCACATTCCATTTAATCGTTATGTAAAACGTAAAGTTGGAGGACATTGAAATGACTGACAACGAGGTCGAATCAGCATACATCACGACAGGTAAGGAAAATACCGAAGAAGTCATCAAGTTTGGTTTGAATCCAGCTAACATACTTACCAGAACTGAACCAATTAGAATAAGAGATTGTACGATTCCACGTGTCACTCAAACCTTGTGGTATGACTTCGATTTTGATGTGGACGGTATAGTGGCAACTTTAGAACGATTTTCAGATATTTCAGCTTCATTCACGTATTTAGGAATTCTACCAAGAGAGAAATTTAGTCTTATTAAAGTCTATAACATTGTCAGGAAGCATTTGCCTCTAGCCAGTTTTTCTAGGAAGGGGCTTGAATGTTTAAGATGGAGTGTGAGTACAAAAATGTTTGAAGGTGATGGTTTTGAATTTCATCTCGCCCTATTACCAAAACCTCAACGCACACATTTCACACATGTGAATGAATCACTTCTTCAAAAATATCAATACGATTTTTACGATTCGTTCCGAAATAATTTTTCGAAGTGTATTCAATCCTTGTCGCCAGTGGATATATCTAGAGGTACATTTAAGAAAAATTCAATTAAAAATATCCGGAAATGGAGAGTGTTACCAGACGACAGGATTCTTGTGTTACGTCTTTTGGATGAAGCACTTCAAATAACGCTGCATAAAGAGGAATTTGAGGTGACAGTATTAGCTTTTCAATTAGGTCAACATGATACTATGGATGAAATCATCGTAAAAGCATTTGATGTGAACAAAGCTACTATTTCTATTCATGCTGCCATAACCATTTCATCCAAGTTCTTTGATCAACATTTATTATGGTCAAGATTTGGACTACAAGATATTGTCGGTGAGCGTGGGACATTTACTACAGCACTCACTTTGAGTTCCTGTGCAAACTTCCAGACAAACTTAGACGGAAGAATACTTGACATTACTCAAGAACTACGACAAATTTGTAACCCTCCTCATGTCTTACATTTTGTCCAATTCTATGCCGACACTCCACATCTGAGTGTATCGTATATTCATCCAACGTTTGGATGCATAGTTTCTACAGGTATTCTTCATAAAGAAATACTAAAAAGTTTAGAGAAAAAAAGCAAAGAGTACTTAAATATATGTGAAGAAAAC